GGGCCTGAACTCTGGGCCTGGGCGCTGTCCCTCAGCTCTTCAGCTCAAGGCTAGCGCTCTACCACTTGAGCCACAGTGCCACTTCCAGTTTTCTGGATGGTTAATTGGAGATAAGAGTCTTACGTACTTTCCTGCCTGGGCTGGCTTTGAACCGCAATTCTCGTATCTCAGCCTCCTGAGTAGCTAGGATGACAGGCGTGAGCCACCGGCGCCCGGCAAGTTTCACCTCTTTTTACTTTTGTTTTGTTGGACTTTGTTTCTTCTTTTGGTGCTGGGGGCAAACCCAGGACCTTGAAGATGCTAGGCAGAACCTAAACATCCCAGCCCTTCAGCTTCCTCTGAATGCAACAACATGCTCTCGCCAGGGGCCACGGGCGCTGTGTCATGGCCACCAGCGAGACTCAGGACCCCAAGGGACACCCAGCTACCTCTCAGGCAGGAGAGAAGACTCCTCCCCCCTCTCTTCCCTGGGCCCTCCCAGGTGTCCTTCCTTTTTCTGGAACTTGCCATCTGACTATTCACCAGCCTCCCTGGGGCTCCATTGGTCAGTTTTGTGGAGTTGCCCGGAAGCACTGGCTGGATTGTGCGGTGCGGCCTGGCTGTGTCCGTCGGTGGACAGACATGCCCCTTATTTGGCCTCTTCCATCCACACTTCCAAGAAGGGCTCTGTGGAGGGACAGCACCGTCTGCAGCCAGACGTTAGCCAGGCGCACTTGGAGTAGCTCCCCGTAACGACCTCCTCATGCCTCTCCTTTTTTGGGTTGTAAAAGATGTACATTCAGGCCTACAAGAGCAGCAACCTGCGGATGAAGATCATCAAGAACGACTTCCCCACCCACCCGCTCCACCTGGGGGGCGCCCTTGCCCGCAGCAGCCACTACCAGCAGTACCAGCCTGTGGTCACCCTGCAGAAGGGCTACACCATCCACTGGGACCAGACGGCCCCCGCAGAGCTAGCCATCTGGCTCATCAACTTCAACAAGTGAGTGGGGGCCGGGCCGGGCACACACCACCCAGGGACGGCCCGTCTGGCTGTGCTCCAACAGCCCCGATGAGGGCCCTCGGGGCAGAGCTCCAGGCTGGGCCCTCCAGACCTGCAGGCTAGCCCCCGGGGCCCTGCGGGAGGTGCCTAGAGCATGTGCCTCACAGGAGCCAGGAACGCAGGTCTCGGCCCATTCCGGGTGTGAGACCCAGGCAGGGTCACTTCTCTCAGAGCCTTTGAGGCAGGACCACACACCCCACCGGGGTGCAAACAGAATGGATGACGGTCCTGGCGTTACCCACCACTCCATGAAGGCCAAACATGTATGCGCATCACAGCCACTGTTTATTTATCAGGAGGGAAAGTGACGGCCTCGTGGCACCTGGGTAGGCATTGTGCATCTGTGCTGCAGCAGTGTGTGAGCACTGTGTGGGCCACGCAGCCATGAGGCAGACGCCCGTCAGCTGCAGAGGAAAATGGTCCCAAGAGTCACGCAGAGCCCAGATCCTGCAGCCCAAGTCAAAGAAAGGCTTCTCCCAGCCAGAGTTCTGCTCAGAACACTCTGCTGCCGGTCCCAGGCCCCCTCGCTCCCTGGCAGCCACTGCCCCCCCCCCAGCCCCACCACTGCAACCCGGTCACCAGATTCTTTCAGAATTCCTCCACAACCACCTCTGGGTTTTCTCTCTGGGGTGAGCCATGTGGAAATGACTACCTTCGGTGCTAGGGGCGACTGGATCCGCGTGGGGCTCTGCTACCCCCGTGGCACCGTCTTCTCCATCCTCTCCGATGTGCACAATCGCCTGCTGAAGCAGACTTCCAAAACCAGCACCTTTGTGAGGACCTTGCAGATGGACAAGGTGGAGCAGAGCCACCCCGGCAGGGGCTACTACTACTGGGACGAAGGCTCGGGGTGAGCGGACACCTGTGGGACGAGGGCCCGGGGTGAGCGGACACCTGTGGGACCACAGCCTGGGGTGATGGACACCTGTGGGACGAGGGCCCGGGGCGATGGACACCTGTGGGACCAGGGCCCGGGGCGATGGACACCTGTGGGACGAGGGCCCGGGGCGA